CTTTGTGCCAGGCCCCTTTCTGAAACTGTCTTCTGTGCCAAAAATATTAAAAAAAATTATATTTTCTTACCCAAATTGGGGTTTAATTTTACGATTTTTTAAAAGCCAAAAAAAATCAAATCAAGGGGGGAGCAAGGGTACCCATGAAGAGAATGGTTGAGGGGGTGGGTGTGCACCCTGTAAAAAAAATCGGGACCAGGGGTGCTTGGGGAATCCCATCTTGGAGTCCATTTTCACCAGCTCGCAGTGAGAATACAAAGAGAACAAAAACCTTGGAGCTTTTTTTCCCCAAAGTATACTCAACAGAATAAAAAGTGTCAGGAAAGTGAATTCCAGGGTTTTCAAGGGGGGTTTAAACCGAAAACGTCCCCGGGATAATGTAATTATGATGAAAACTCATATGACCCGACCTCCACCTCTGGGCTGGCCGGCTTTACGTTCACCTTCCCAGGATGAAAGAGGAAACTATTTGCCCTGTACAAGACCAGATGTGAGCATGAAAGTGATAGTGAAGTGATTTCAAAGCAGTTCGTTGCACATTGAGGGTGAATATTCCCCATGAAGCGCAGTAAATGACAAACATCTTTTGGAGTGGTCATATGCCGTTCCAAGAGGAAAGGGGTAAATCTCGGGGCACACCCTGGGGGCCCACACCATGACCCGAAGTGAAGAGAAAAATTGTTAATGGGATGAATGACGTGATGACATGACCTGATATGAAGATGACAAATTGTTACAATGGGTTTCGAATGATGTGAGGAGGCAGCAAGTGGTGTGGGATAGTGATGGGGGATATCCTATGGCCCACGCGGGCCACGCTACTACCGCGCTGCTGACTCTGCACAACTACAACCACCCCCACCCAACCCCCCACTCCCACAACCTGCACAACCACAACCTGCAAAAACCAATTTCAAATATCCAGAAACCACCAGCAGACCGAACTGGGGTTGGGAGGAAGGTGACGAGTTTGTTCCCCGTCCCCCTGACTTTTATGAAGCACAAAGTGGAAAATTTCCACGTGTACACTTGGGGAAAAATGCACTGAAAAGGGAAAGCTTTTATTATTCTTCGATGAACCCCTGTGGCATTATTGTCAGGGAAACCCAAAACATACTATATACAAACCCAAGCAAATACAATTCTCTCACCAAGACACGGCTACACCCGTGGAAGGGCACAACTGTGGCAGAGATGTACTGTTCTTTGCCCCCATTTAACTTTTGCCACATTTAAACACACTGCACCACTATGGGCAATGGAACGCCCGATTTTACCCCAGTTTTAGTGATATTAAAGGGTAATCATTTTTTTTATACTGTTACGTATTTACACTTTTCAACAAAACAAGGGCCGACAGAAACAACAGGTTATATAAAAATCAGAAAGTTTAGACCTGAAACAAAAGTGTTTTCAAATATTTTTATCCTTCAGGAAGCTTGTTTTTTGACAGTCTTAATTTATTTAAAGGGAAACTCCATTCAACAAAACATACCAACAAAAGGAAAAGCTTTGGTATAAAAATTTTTTTGTACGTGTGATTGCAAAAGTGGGCTCATTTTGGATATCATTTGTGTACACTGGCAGTAATACATTGAGAATACCAAAGTTATTGGGTATCCTGGGATGTGGTTCGAACAATGAGGGAAACCCTATTTGGGAAGGGGGAATATTATTAAAATGAAACGGGACACAAGCCCCATACCATGATTTTTTATAGGAACCCGACAGACGTTGTGGCACAGTGCGGGGAATCGTAAAATATCCAAGGTTCGACGCTGGCACTCACAAGGGGGGTGCAGGCCTTTGCTGCCAATGACATCATGACGCTTTGTGGCATGACAAATGTGATGTCACACTGTTGACATCAGTTATCAAAAAAAAATGGGACACACTGGGGGCAAAACAATAGATCAATGAACCCCTTCTAAAACCTCAACTGTCATGGGCTACAACCTCAATAACCCTATGGACAAATGTACATGCAATTGGTTTGCTGATTGTTACCAAGAGTTAAAGTGGGAAAATGAAACTTTTTTTTCCCTCTCTTGATATCATATGTATACAATTTTGTAACAACACCGAAACAGTCAAAAGGGTTTAAATGCGTTTAAAAGTTACATTTTCACATATTTTAAATTTGCAAGAACAGGCATAAAAAAAAAATAAAAAAGAAAATATAATACCACACTTAATCTTAATGTGTCTTAATGTAGGGGAGAGTTTAGTGCATTTTTTGTAGGGGAAATTAGGAGGGGGGGTAGCCTGCCTGGCACCATACCTCAAATTAGTTAGTTTGTTTTCTATGGTTTTTAATATTTTGTTTATACAATATGTAATGTGTTTTTATATAATTTTGAAAATTGTCAAGATGGGTTTTAGAAAAGTCTAAAAATGTAATAATACTTTAAGGCATTTGGGGGCAATTATTTTTATTATTATTATTATTTTTATTTTTTATTATTATTATTTTTATTATTATTATATTATTTAACTTTGCACTTTAAAACTAGTGAGACACTCTTAGTGATTTTTAAAGTACCCAAATTTATTTGGGAAGTTTATTTAGGGACAGGGCACTAAGTACAATTACTGAATGTATATAAAACATGCAATAACTTTTAACCCCCTTTACTGTCAATGCCCATAGATACGTCTTTTCGAGCCAGTGTTGTGATTATTAAAAATTCTAAAATTCTAGAGGGTTCTAATCTACGGGGAAAACGGTAACCTACATGAAGAAATTGTCTGTGTGGTCATAGCCAGTATAAAAAATTTAGGACCCGCATTGCACGGGAACGCCATTTTAGTATTCCCTTTTTACCATGCCAAAGTAAAAAATCTCACTCCCCGGCAAATTTTGGGGCTCTTCCTTCCCCCAATGAATTTTTTTAAAAAGAGGAAATTCATGAAATGAAAATTTAGGTTTTTTAGATTTGTGACCGAAAGCAATTCCCAGGATACCGATACAGATAGGAAAAGGGGAAGGCGCTTGAGTGCGGGGAAGGGAGCTTGGGGGGTGGGGGAAGGCAGCGTGAGATGGGAAGACAACATGGAGTTTGGAAACGGGGGGTGGTTGGGGCAGGTGAATAAGTTTATTTTTGTACACCGAATACAGTTTTCATAGATTAACACACATGGGCCCCATGTGTGGGGTCAGGGTAACCCAAAAAACCAGAGTGACTTATTTCCAGCAGGGGGTGGGAAAGACAGTGGGTGTTGGGGAAGGGAGCGGGTGGGGGAAGATGGGGTTGGGGGTGGGAAAGCAGCGTGGTTTATTAAACAAGTTTTGTAAAAATTATGAGATAACAATGTTTTTTTCGGTTTTGTTTGCACACATCGAATAGATATATATAAACATTATGCCCCTTATATTGGGGCTCACAGGCCCAAAAAATTTCTTGAAAAAATAAAATATTAGAAAAGAAAAGAAAAAAGTAGAATAAAAGTAAAAATATTATTATGTACTGAGTGAGAGGCAGTTGCCAATGTTGCCATAAGTGGTTCACTTTCTGTGAACTTCAAGCCTCTATATCTCAGTAACTACTGATCTCAAAAGTTTTTTTTTCTTTTAAAACACTCAGGAAAATATTCTTAAGATTTTGGTAAGAATTTTTTTTTTTTTTTTTTTTTTTTAAATATTTTCCAACACTGAGAGCAGGTTTGTGAAAGGGTTAAATGCATGAAACTTTGGAAAGTTTCCAGATATAATTGAGAGAGACACTGAGTTCATGGAGGATGTAAGCAAACCATGTGGTTCGCTGATGCCATAATAGCGAATCAGGAGCCATATAAACATATTTTTGGATATAATTTAAAATGTCCTTACTAGCAAAGTGCTGTAAAGCAAAGCAACATAAAGCAGGGACTGCCTGTATGTCATTCTGCTGGTCAGTTATGTGACAACTAATTTGTCCAGTCTGCTTGACAATAATTAAAATACTACTAACTCTTCTATTTCCATTAAGAACTGGGGGCAAAAACACAAAAGCAACTTTACCATTAGCACAGGAGTATGTATACATAATACCAAACGGGGGGGGGGGGTAACAAGATATTTGTAGGGGCAAACAGCAAGATCTCTGGAGATTAAGATCCACGAACACAAGAACGCCTACAACTGTGCTGACCATAAAACTACTTGTGTCCAACACAGATGTTGGACTCCTTACAAAGTTCAATGAAGCTAAGTTGGTTATTCAGAAAGATGATTTATGGAGATAAAAAGTAAAAAAGAGGCAGCTGTAATTGCTGTCAGTAACACAGTATCTGAGAAGTCTGGCAGTTACAGCATATTCAAATTTTAACCAACATCATATTGCCCATTTTGGAGCTGACCATCATGTATTACCTCTTAAACAGTGTATAGAGGAGCACTACAGCCCATGCTGACAGGGCCTTCTCAAACCCTACCAATTTCACTGTTGCTGCTGCACCCTTCCCCCTCTCCCACTTCCTCTTTCTACATACTGTCTGACTCCTGCCACTATATATAACACTGTTTTCTTAGATGTCTCTATATTAGGAGTGAAGAAGCCACTTGTGGTGAAACATTTCCTTTAATGTTTATCCTGAACCCTACATGAATGTCTTCTTCCATATCTATAAGGAAAGTTTAGTCAAAAGATAATATAAAATAAGCTAATGAAGGAAGAAAAACTACACATTATATCGAGTGTTCAGTTATTAAGGCTACTGGAATAACATGCTGCATATTCTGTATGTTGATTTAATATTTCATGTACAGTACCACAGGCAGGGTTAGAACCCGCGATCAGAGAGTCATAAAACTCCAGATCGACCCGCTAGCCACTGGGCCAGCTGGCTACAACAAGATTCGTCCAACTAGGTATATTTATACACCATAGGAAGGTTAGCATAGGCACCGCTGTGACCACAAATGCAAGTTTTTACAGACGAATCTCCCGCCAGCGTGGCTGTGATTAGCCCTAGCTCTGTATTTTAATTTTCTACATAGTAATGATAACTTCTCATTTCAGGATATGACAGATAAAGTAGAAGCAGAGCACAGAACTAAACTGATTCAGTTGCACTCAATACAGGAAGAAAAGAAGTAAGTATAATGGCTTTTAAGGCATTCAGATTGTAATTCCACACCTGTTCCTCATACTAAGAATTTTTTTTTCAGTGCACCAGCCATCTCCCACCGAGGCAGGGTGACCTAAAAAGAAAAACAAAAATTTTCCTTTTTACATGTAGGAATTTATACAGGAGAAGGGGTTACTAGCCCCTTGCTCTTGGTATTTTAGTTGCCTCTTATGATATGCAAGGCTTACGAAGAAAGATTCTCTTCCACTTCCCCATGGAAATAAAAGGAAGTTAATAAGAACAAAAACTATTAAGAAAATAGAAGAAAAACTTGATATCGATAGGTGTGTAAAGGAGGGCCCCGCTTATACAGCAAGTTAGGTTCTAGGCTTCTGCTGTAAAGCAAAAATCAGTGTATAGTAAAACATAATTTTTTTTTCACTTTCAAATGCATATAAAAGCCTGATGACATGTTTACACTATCATATATTAGGTGAGCAATAGAGTTAGGAATGAAAGATGCATATACACGTACAGTGCACACATTACTTGTAGTTTTGGAATGGTTGATACTTGTATTTAACCCTTTGAAGATCAGAACCCATGATGAAACTTGTTCTCAGGGTTGGAGAATTTAAAAAAAATAATTATTTTTCTCATGAAATGATGGGGAATCTTTTTCCGAAGGTAATGAAATGAAAGGTGTGAAATTTGATGGCAAAGTTAGCAGTCTTGTCTATATGTAACCCTTAAACTGTTCAAACGTAGATCTACGTTAGTACTGCTAGCGCTCCAAACATAAATCAGCATTTTATTATTCCTGCCTCCAAATTTGGGACAATTGGCCTGAGATGCTTAGTCAGTATAGAATGGGTCTTAACACTTGGTGTGTGCAGTATCATAAAATCTGAGACAACTTAGTACCTTGTGGGAGCACCATTTCAATTGAGCACCAGCTAGAGCAAAGAGCGTGGCAAACACTAGGGATTCACTAACGTCATGTTGTATTAACTCTCCCCTTTGAAGAGGAAAGTGATGTTGACTCAGAGTTTAGTGGCTTTGAGATGGATGTGGCCACAAGTGGTCAAGGAAATATCAAAAACCTCGATAATAGCCCATGCGCAACATTTGTGCAACATCTTCTCAGTTTTAATACTGCTGGTAGTGTCATCCTACCAGAATGTCCTATAACCTATACCCTAAGTGAAGAGAAACCATTCTGGAACGCGTAATATGTGTTTGGGAGGCCATGTGACTGGCTGGCCGGGTGACTGGCTGGCCGGGTGGCTGGCTGGCCGGGTGGTTGTCTGGCCAGATGGCTGGCAGGCCAGGTGGCTGGCTGGTCGGGTGGCTAGCAGGCCGGGTGGCTGGTTGGCCTAGTGGCTGGCTGGCCTGGTGGCTGGCTGGCCGGGTGGCTGGCTGGCCGGATGACTGGCTGTGTTTCAAATTTCAGAATTTTTCGAATTTCAGAATGAAGGTGGGGTCTAGGCCAGCAGGCCTACTGCAGTGTTCCTCTTTTCTTATGTTGTTATGTACCCATGACACCAATCATACCCAGAGTCTCCCACTCATATATTTGTCCAATCTCTTTTTAAAGCTACCCAAGTTCCTATCGAAGCTAAAACCTTGGGTAGTTTCAAAATAAGGTTGGATTTGTGGAGGACATGCCAAAGATAGGCCAACAAACCTACTGCAGTGTTCCTCCTTTCTTATGTTCTTATGTTAATGAGTGGAACAGTCTGCCTCGTATGGTTATAAGAACATAACATAAGAACATAAGAATGGAGGAATACTGCAGAAGGCCTACTGGTCCATACAAGGCAGGTCCTAATCAAAACGACCCCTACTCAAAGCTTCCCAAGAATATCCTTAGGTACCCAATGACACCAATCAAACCTAGCCCCTCCCACTCATATACGTATTTGTCCAATCTCTTTTTAAAGCCACCCAATGTCCTAGCCTCGATCACCCTACTCGGGAGATTGTTCCACGCATCCACAACTCTGTTAGAAAACCAGTACTTACCTATGTCCTTTCTAAATCTAAATTTTCTTTCTTTCTTTCAACACACCGGCCGTATCCCACCAAGGCAGGGTGGCCCAAAAAGAAAAACGAAAGTTTCTCTTAAATTTAGTAATTTATACGGGAGAAGGGGTTACTAGTCCCTTGCTCCCTCTTACAACACGCATGGCTTACGGAGGAAGAATTCTGTTCCACTTCCCCATGGAGATAAGAGGAAATAAACAAGAACAAGAACTGGAAAGAAAATAGAAGAATACCTAGAGGGGTGTGTATATATATGCTTGTACATGTATGTGTAGTGTGACCTAAGTCCAAGTAGAAGTAACAAGACATACCTGAAATCTTGCATGTTTATGAGACAGACAAAAGACACCAGCAATCCTACCATCATGTAAAACAATTACAGGTTTTCGATGTACACTCACTTGGCAGGACGGTAGTACCTCCCTGGGCGGTTGCTGTTTACCAACCTACTACCTAGGAAATCTAAATTTATCCAACTTAAATCCATTATTTCTGGTTCTTACCTGGTTTGACACTCTCAGTACTTTATTAATATCACCTTTGTTTATACCCATCATCCACTTATACACTTCAATGATATCTCCCCTCATTCTACGTCTCTCCATAGAGTGGAGATTCAAGGCTCTAAGTCTGTCTTCATACGGGAGATTCCTTACAGAGTAAATTATTTTAGTCATTCTTCTTTGTATGTTCTCCAATGAGTCTATATCCATCCTGCAGCAGGCCTGTTGGCCCATACTAGGCATGTCCTTCACAAACCATCCCACTAACAGAATATTTGTCCAACTCACGAGGGATAATATTACTGTCACAAGGGACATGGTTATCAAACAGATAGGCAAACTGAAGCAAAATAAGTCCCCGGGGCTCAACGAGTTGTTTTCCAGGGTACTTAACCCTTAAACTGTCCATGTGTAGATCTACGTCCACGTGCAGGGGGCTCCGAATGTAGCTCTATTTTTTTTTTCATGTGAACGTAGATCTACGTTTAGACAGTTTAAGGGTTAAGGAATACAAGATGGAACTTAGTCAGCCATTAACGAGTGTGTTTAATGTGTCCATCCTTACTGATGTTGTGCCAGAGTTGTGGAAGATGGCTAATGTGGTTCATATATTCCTGTTAGTGGGATGGATTGTGAAGGACCTGCCTAGTATGGGCCAACAGGCCTGCTGCAGCGTTCCTCCTTTCTTACGGACATAAACTCATTAGAAAACATTCAGCGTAGAATGACTAAATTAATACATAGCATTAGAAATCTTCCTTATGAAGTAAGATTGAAGACCCTTAAATTACATTCACTTGTTAGACAAAGAATGAGGGGAGACATGATCAAAGTGTATAAGTGGAAAATGGGTATTAATAAAGGGGATATAAATAAGGTCTTGAGGATATCTCTCTAAGAGAGAACCCACAGTAATGGATTCAAATTAGACAAGTTTAGATTTAGAAAGGATATAGAAAAGTATTGGTTTGGAAATAGGATAGTTGATGAGTGGAACAGTCTACCTAGTTGGGTTATTGAGGCTAAAACCTTGGGTAGTTTCAAATTTATGTTGGATAAATACATGAGTGAGAGGGGTTGGATTTGAATGGGACTTGCATATGAGAGTGGATAGAGTTATGAGAGCTTATTTCTTGAGTGGCATTGAAAATTGTGTTGGGCAAATGTTTTGTTAGTGGAATGGATTGTAAAAGACCTGCCTAGTATGGGCCAACAGACCTACTGCAGTGTTCCTCCTTTCTTATGTTCTTATGTTATGGTCTTATGACACAACTGGTGGTACTGGAGTTATGTAGAGATGACTGACAATCCACACTCCATGAAAAAACTTCGGTTTTTGGAACTTTTCGAATTTCAGAATTTCAGATAAAGGAATGGGGACTGTATAAGGCATAATAAGCGTGACTAGCAAGTAATACGCATTTTCAGTTGTTCAGGAATCAGACGTGACGACTCTGCATCTCTGCATCGTGTGTAATACTTGTTAGTTCTGAGACAGACAGAGAGACAAGCAGAGACAGGAAGACGAACACATAGGCAGACAGATTAGCAGAGACAGAGATAAAGAGACAGAGCTAGACAAATAGACAGACAAACAGACAGACAGATAGACAAACAGATAGACATGTTTATATGTCAAAGTGAAAACAAACAGCCAAGGCAGTGCATGATCATCAAGTGTCACGTGTCCACTGCTGCTCTGTCAGCAGTGCAGTGACACTCTTCTTACATGATGCTTCAAGGAGTTTCATATATACTCTAGCATGTCTAAAACATTGCTAGGACCTATAAATACTTTGCATAGTATTCCTAGACAATAGTAGGTGACCAAGGCAGGTGAAAATGTTCACCTGTCAGTGTGTTTGTGACTATTTGAGTACTATTTCAGTACCTAATATTAGTGTCAGAACAAAGATTGGTTATGAAATCACAAGAACTACTATAAATTGTAATTATCAGAACATAAAAATTATATAAATTAAAATAAAAATAAGAAAAAAGGTATATTGGCAACACTTCTACAAGTGGCAGGACTCGATGTTGCTGTCATGTGAGCATCCAGCACCAACTTTGCAGTCTTATACCTCGGTAAGTACTAGTCCTAAAATTTTTTTGTGTCTTATTGCACACAAAAAATTGCCCTCTTTAATATTCGGGGCGCTGGGCCTAAATGATCCAAATGTATATATACGTTCTCTTGCCCAGTGCCCCAAATATTTTTAATTTTTTTTTTTTTTTATAGAAATAAAGATAACATTTTTCTAAGTGTTATAAGATTAAAATAAAAAAAATTAGCGTCAGTATTTACCGAGATATGATGCTGCGAAGTTGGCACTTAATGCTCACTTGACGGCAATGAGTCCTGCCACTTGCAGAAGTATTACCGATATACCTTTTTTTTTCCATTTTTATATTATTTTATATACGTAATTTTTATGCTCTGATAATTACAATTTATAGTAGTTCTTGTCATTTT